AGGTGCTCAGCCTTTCCAATCTGTGCTAACATGTCTGTCTGTGTACTGTCTTACCAACATTCAAAATTTGAGATAATGTTCCTAAATCTTGGATCATGCAGAAAGCAAAAAGCGTTATCACACAGATCACATCAGAACTTGCTCTGGGAGCGTTAAGGTTTGTGTAATAACTGCGGTTTGGGTTTGCAGACAAAGAAAGGGGTGGTCCTCTCGCTGAGACACAGACGGAGAGAAGGCACGGGGCCAAAGCTGTGGGGCCTGGAGCAGGATCACAGCAGCGCATGTTTCTGTGAGCTGAGTCTGTGAGACGACGCTTTCAGGTTGCTATATCAAATGGGACTGAGTCTAAGCAGCTGTTGAACAAACGCTAACAATATCTTTTTTATTTTCTCTTTAAAGTTTTCTAAAGATTTTTAACTCAATAAATTCAAACCCATGTTGACTGTTTCACTATGGACATTATACATTTAAACAAGTTAAAATATGAATCCAATATTTTTAGTATTTATTTCATATTTGATATCACCTGCTTGAAGTCTTCTATTTATATGAATTTCTTGAGCAAGAAATTGATCTAGACCAAAAACAAACAAACAAATGGTTATTATAGTTAACTACAATTAAAATCATTAAAAATATACATGTTCGTTACTTAAAAATAAAACAATTGCTAACTGGAACATATTTTATTTCAGCTAGTTACCAAAGCAACATTTCTCTTTTTGATTTAGTTTACTTGAAGTACTATAATAACTACAATAACTAAAACTGAAAGAAAAATAGTAATAATAATAATAATAATAATAAATAGGACAATGAAGACTTGGAATTGGAGTGCATAAAAGATTGGAAATGCATGGTATAGGACGGAAAATTGGCTGCAAGTTTGTGGGCAGAGACAATTTCTTGGTATTCCCTTTTAGGTAAGTTCTAAAACTGACAAAGTTTGTTTGAAAGCTAGTTCCTCTAAAATAAGTAAAACTTCAAGTTAAAAAAAAAATACTAAAAAACAAATATTGCGCTTGTTAGCAGATTCAATGCTTGTTAGTGTTCGTATTGTGCATTCTTATATTAACATACAGTATTTGATTGACTGATCATGTTGAGAGTTTTACTTCAGTCCGTCACCATTTACGAATACCATAGAAACAAATGTGTAATGCTCTAAAATGAATCCTACCTGTCACAAAAAACTGTCTGTGATTCCTCTCATAAAGCTTCTTGTTTCACTACAACATTATTATCCACAGAATAAAATGTAAATATGTACCCCTACTGGTCAATGTCATAACTCTGCAAATAATGGTACTTACATTAGCCCTTTGTACTGCTTTTCCTAAATTCACCAACATTAGTGCTGTTTGCCAGATGGTGTCGATGATAAGAAATAACTGAAAAGTTGAAAAAAAGGGGTATATAGGGTTTGTAGAGTTTACTATTATATAGAACTTAAACATTAAAAATCCGAAAGATACTTTACATGAAACATTAAAGGCTGCTTTTATAACACAGTTCCTAAATATGTGCCTTTTCATAGAGAATAATGATTAAAAATCAACATGGGTCCAGGTTTTCCTCTGTTTACAACCCTGACCCTGGGCAACTACATAGGACATTACTCAGAAAGCAGAAAGCCTTTTAAATTGTTTTTTATTGGTCAATTACTGAAGAGCTGCACTGTTGAATTACAGACCATTAGAACCCAATACCATACATTTTCCCCTATTCTTTTTGTATGAAAAGGAGTTTTAATGTATTCACTCACTGGCCATTCCAATGCAATACACATATGCAGTGGTGGAAAGAGTACTGAAAAAATATACTCAAGTAAAAGTACCATTACCTTCCAAAAAATGTAGTGTGAGTAGAGTAAAAGTACTTGTCCAAAAAACTACTTGAGTAAGAGTAAAAGAGTAGCCTATTTAAAAGTACTCATGAGTAGTGAGTACTGAGCTGTGGATTCTACCCCCTCATAATAAACGCTGTACACCGCAATTGATACATTTTAAAAACGTACATTCTGTAATTCACATTATCTTATTTGTCATAAAGAATGAAGAGTATCTATCATCCAGCAGTTTTAATTTTGACTGCCAACTCTTTAAAATACATCAAAACAGCACGGAAACAGTATTCAGTTGAAGAAAAGATTAAAGTTATTCTCAGTACAATCATCCCCATTTAAATCATAAAGAGAACAGTGCAAATACAAACACCATTAGAAACTCATAGTTCAGCATCACACACCATGATATGGGTTAAAATGAGAGCCCATTTCTCTCCGAAACGGTGCCAGTTTGAGCGTTTTGCAATAAAGAAATAAAAATAACTAAACTTGATAATTTATGTTACAATTTTAACATAAATGCCCATTGTTCTAGAAGGATGGCAAATTCATGCCATACCTTTTACACATTTACTCGAATTGTTATGCTGATAATACAATTTGTAAGGAAAAATGCATTAAATAGCGAAGTATCTCTGGGGAAACTTGTTCAAAGGAAAACCCCCACACACACACGCACGCACACACACACATGCACACACACACGTCTCTTTGCCGAGCCTCGGCGGTCTCGGTGAATCAGCAGCATCCACTATTGACCTATAGACCTATTACTCTCGATCCAATCACGTTGATGGATAAAAATTAAATTAAAATAAGCATGTAACGACCACAAACGGAGGAAAATAGCGGAGTAAAAGTACCGATACATCACTTAAAATGTACTCAAGTAAAAGTAAAAATACACAATTTTTAAACTACTCAAAAAAGTACAATTACTGATAAAAACTACTTAATTACTGTAACGTGAGTATTTGTAATTCGTTACTTCACACCCCTGCACATATGTAAGAAAAAAAAACAGTACTACAACTCAAAAGATATCTTTTAATATCCAAAGGTCAGAATGTGTCCATCTGCACATGAGTTTAGCACTTCCTGTGAAATATGTCTTTATTGCACTTCAAATGACTGAACAAACAGTTATTTAATACAAGTCAATTATTTGGCACTGCTGGCACATTGAATCAACTATTTGGCAGCAAAATCAAAACAAAGAAATGGATAGAAATGTGAGTTAACACAAAATACCATTCAGACAAACAGGTATAAAGTTGCAAAACATCAAACCTTTTGATTTTTTTTCTTCGTTTCCTTCTTTGCATTTTTCTGTAAAATTGAATTAATTTCACCAAGCTTTGATATACAAAGACAGGACCACAACACATATGATCAGTTTTATGAGAAAAGCTGTTTCATAATGACTTTTTTTCTCCACAAAGAAAAATAGTTATAACCATTTCATAATTCAGTTAAATAATAGCACCCATGAAACCAATAACAACAGTTTCAGCAGTCTGAGTGTGGAGTATAAGCAGATGCAACACTCAGTTTGTAATGCAAACTCATAATCTCATTTGTTAAATTGTCTCATTATGTACCTTCACTACGCAAATGAAATTAAAATGATAGTTCACCCAAAAACTTATGTTATCATTTACCCACCCTCATGTTTCTCCATATTTATATGACTTTCTTTTTCTGTGGAACACAAATTTTGAATAATGTGGGTTCCCTATCGAATGGGAACTCGCACTGGGTCCCCTAGAGCAGTGTTTCCCAACCGGGGTGCCGTCTGTCGAGAGCAGGGGTGCTGTGTAAAAAAATCCTTTTTTAATATTTTTAAATTGCTAAAATGTTCAAAAAAAGCATCTATTATATAATATCCATTTCTGATGTCGCCAATACTTAGAGATGCACCGAAATTTCGGCTGCCGAAAATTAGTTCACCGCTCAGGTTTCACTTTCACGTGGTGTGACGCTCTGCGTATTATCCGGCTCTATTCGTGTTCGCTCCGCTCAATCGCTCCACTCGTATACCGTTCATGCGAATCGGAACAGCACATGTGGAAACACGACAGTGAACTTGACATTGGCCTATGACGTGTTACTGGTGCGACCAAGAGTATAAAAGGGCACCTGTAGCACACGTCATCAGCTTCTTGTCTTCAGCCATTTGTTTGTGTGTGCTTGTGTGACAAAAAAAAAGAAAAGAAGAAAGGTAAAGCATGAGTGAGCACAGTTTTAAAAGATGTGTCCCACCATGTGAAAGGTACATCACACCTAACGATTCTCATGAGCTATGTGTGGTGTGTCTGGGGGCACAGCATGCACGGTCGGCTCACGAGGGAGCCGGCTGTGCCCACTGTGATCGTTTCACAGTGAAACAGCTGCGCTCCCGCTTAGCTCTGTTTACAGAGGACGGAAGCCAAGCATCTGCGCCTCGTGGTGCTGGACCCGCTGCTGCCAAGGCAGAGCGCCGTCTGCACTCATGTGGCTCGCAGTTAGATCTGGCTGACGAGCTTGGGACGGGTCTCTCCCTATCCCAATCCTCGGTCGCCAGCTCTGTTGCTCGCGAACCTTTTAATTCTTGATCTTGGTCTAAGGCCTGAAAGAAATTTAATCACAGCACTTTTAGCATCTGTGCATTCTCTGCAGTGGTGGGCGATAACGGCTGTCACTCCTGTTATGACGTTCAAGGCTGCTGAAGGATCTGCTTCAAAAGGAGATGCTTAAAATAAACGATAAGGCATTTTGGTTTTTGCATTTTTTTTCTCCTCAAATCGTCCTCCCACTAATCAGCCACCAAGTCAGAAAAAAAGCAGCGACACACGAGAATAAAACATTCTTGATTTATTGGAGCAAAGAGTCTTTGTTTGGTTCGTTTGCCTTAGATAAAATCCTGCATTTAATTCTGTCCTCACTATCATTTGTTTGGCAGGAAGATATATAATCATGCATCTTCAGTCAATATACTCTTTTATATATAATTAGATTAAATTAGATAATATATACACAGGAAGTCAATTTATTTAGCATTTTTATATATTAATATAGTTATATATAAATATATGTTTAGTATTATAATTATGTTAAATACTATATAATTGCATAAATATTATATTCCGATCCGGCAGAGAGCATGTTACTCGGCCGGTCTAGCTCCGAAGAGATAGATGTGACAGGAGTTGAGGCAGAGGCTACATCACAAACCGCCTCCTCCTCGTCACCCGCGTATGGGGAACTCTTGGACGTCATGACCCGCGCCACCGCCAGCCTAATCCTGGACTGGTCGGCGGAGATGCAGGAACGCGCGTCTAGTAGCCATCTGGATGAGCGCTTCCTAGCAGGTCATAAACGCTCCGCCCCCCGAGCCTTCCATTCCTCCCTGAGCTTCACAGCGAGCTGTTGAGGTCATGGAGGAATCCTTTTTCTGCCCGCGTCTTTCCCCATAACAAGTCAAACTACGCTAAAGTGAAGGGGTTGGAAGACAGCGGGTACACAAAGATGCCTCAGATGGAGGAATCCCTTGCAGGTTATCTCGCTGCTCCCCAGGCATCTTCGTGGAGGGCTCCTACCTTGCCTTCGAAGCCGTGCCAGTTTACATCTAGGCTCGTGGGCAAGGCATACGCGGCGGCTGGGCAGGCGGGCGGTACCCTGCATACTATCTCTGTATTGCAGGCTTACCAGGCGGATCTTCTAAAGGACGCTGATGAGCGGGGTGGGGGGGAGGTGCTGGCTCCTCCGCTCTCTTGCGGCACTCATTGTCACGGAGAGGGGAGAGGCATTTACCCTGTCGGGGCTAAAGGAGAAGGACAGGTCTTTTCTCCTTGATGCCCCGGTTTCGCGTTTCGCCTTTTTCGGAGCTGCTGTTGAGACAGTAGTCCGTAAGTTCAGGGAGGCGAAGGTTAAGTCAGCGGCGTTTGAGCACTACATCCCTCGCCGTAGGCGGCGTCCTTTCGATCAACCACCTGAAGCTGAGCCTGCCGCCGGGCCCAGCTGGCGGCAGAGTCAGAAGGCGAGCGTAGCTGCGAGAGCCCCGCCTCCGAGGAGTCGGGGCGCTGGGCAGCGACCTCGCCCAAGGCAGAGACAGGACCTCAGGGAAATTATCGAAGCCAAGAAAGGCAAGCCGAAGCCCTGAGTCCAATGAGTCCAAGTGATTTACTGTTAGCTTTTGCTAATAAGAAAAGCCCTTACTGCCGCAGTTGAACGTTGTTTTCAGTTTATGTTGTCATTTGCAACTTGAAAAGTATTTTTTCTTCTACTACAATTTTGTTATGTAGTGGGGATCAGTCACTAATTTCAATTCGTAGTTTTCCCAGTACAACAGCGGCTTTCCCATTGTATCGGTGTTAGGTTGTGAGATGTGTTGAGGAACGTGGGCTATTCCGCGAATCGCGTCCCACTCCTTCAGCTTTCTCTGTTATACGAATTGTTATGGGTGTGTTGAGAAGATGGGCAGTATTGCAGCTTGCATTCCCATTTCTTAATTTGTTATGCAATAAGGCAGGGCACTTCCCCTTTTGTATTG